TATATAATGTCAGTCATACACACCTAACATGAGCCCAAACCAACAAACGTAACTTAGAGTAAGTCATGTTTTAAACAACATGAATAACATGATCAAAGGTTCAAATGTTACCACAACTCTTGTGCATATTTTGAGGGGTGCAGGGAGGGTTTCTTTATTATTATATTGTTATAATTAATCCACAGAACAGAACTAACAGGAATTCATTCAGTAGTCATTGTATTATGCTGATTTGACAGTTTTACATCCATAATGTAGATTCACTGGTCAAGGAATACAAAAACCAACAGGTTAAAGGTGAAACAACAGCTCTGCCTACACTCAGACATCACCATCTTTCAGAACAAAGGTCAGTGAGTGGTTGTTTTATGTAAATTAAAAGGTCTACAAATAATTCCTTCTAAATTTTCAGATATATGATGCATGACAACTTCTTTAATCTACTAAATATCCATGATAGTTATGAAGAACAACAAACTAACTTGAGGATGAACATGGGCTATGTCTCAATTCATGTACCTGAATTGGCTCATTTTATAATATACTGTACAGACCAAAAGTTTGGACACACCTTCTCATTCAAAGAGTTTCTTTAAGCTGTTATCTGGTTGATCATGAGCAGAGGCTTTATTTTCTGAATGGATTGTGACTGTTCGTTTGGATTAGTAAGGGAGTTTCTCAAATGTCTTGAATTATTGGAAGATGTTTGCAATTTATGTACAGTACAGAGCAAAAGTTTGGACACACCTCATTCAAAGAGTTTTCTTTATTTTCATGACTATGAAAATTGTAGATTCACACTGAAGGCATCAAAACTATGAATTAACACGTGGAATTATATACTTAACAAAAAAGTGTGAAACAACTGAAAATATGTCTTATATTCTAGGTTCTTCAAAGTATAAACCTTTTGCTTTGATTACTGCTTTGCACAGTCTTGGCATTCTCTTGATGAGCTTCAAGAGGTAGTCACCTGAAATGGTTTTCCAACAGTCTTTGAGGAGTTCCCAGAGATGCTTAGCACTTGGTGGTCCTTTTGCCTTCACTCTGCGGTCCAGCTCACCCCAAACCATCTGGATTGGGTTCAGGTCCGGTGACTGTGGAGGTCAGGTAATCTGGCGCAGCACCCCATCACTCTCCTTCTTGGTCAAATAGCCCTTACACAGCCTGGAGGTGTGTTTGGGGTCATTGTCCTGTTGAAAAATAAATGACGGTCCAACTAAACACAAACCGGATGGAATAGCATGCCACTGCTAGATGCTGTGGTAGCCATGCTGGTTCAGCATGTCTTCGGTTTTGAATAAATCCCCAACAGTGTCAGAAGCAAAGCACCCCCACACCATCACACCTCCTCCTCCATGCTTCATGGTGGGAACCAGGCATGTAGAGTCCATCAGTTCACCTTTTCTGCGTCGCACAAAGACACGGTGGTTGGAACCAAAGATCTCAAATTTGGACTCATCAGACCAAAGCATAGAGTTCCACTGGTCTAATGTCCATTCCTTGTGTTCTTTAGCTCAAACAAGTCTCTTCTGCTTGTTGCCTGTCCTTAGCGGTGGCTTCCTAGCAGCTATTTTACCATGAAGGCCTGATTCATACAGTCTCCTCTTAACAGTTGTTCTAGAGATGTGTCTGCTGCTAGAACTCTGTGTGGCATTGACCTGTTCTCTAATCTGAGCTGCTGTTAACCTGCCATTTCTGATGACCTGTTCTCTAATCTGAGCTGCTGTTAACCTGCCATTTCTGAGGCTGGTGACTCAGATAAACTTATCGTCCACAGCAGAGGTGACTCTTGGTCTTCCTTTCCTGGGGCGGTCCTCATGTGAGCCAGTTTCTTTGCATCGCTTGATGGTTTTTGTGACTGCACTTGGGGACACTTTCAAAGTTTTCCCAATTTTTCAGACTGACTGACCTTCATTTCTTAAAGTAATGATGGCCACTCATTTTTCTTTACTTAGCGGCTTTTTTCTTGCCATAATACAAATTCTAACAGTCTATTCAGTAGGACTATCAGTTGTGTACTGTATCTACCTTGTGCACAACACAACTGATGGTCCCAACCCCATTTATAAGGCAAGAAATCCCACTTATTAAACCTGACAGGGCACTCCTGTGAAGTGAAAACCATTTCAGGTGACTACCTCTTGAAGCTCATCAAGAGAATGCCAAGAGTGTGTGAAGCAGTAATCAAAGAAAAAGGTGTCTACTTTGAAGAACGTAAATATAAGACATATTTTCAGTTGTTTCACACTTTTTTGTTAAGTAAATAATTACCTCCGCCAAGGGGAGGAGGTAATATTTTCGGTTGTGTCTGTCGTTCTGACTGTGGACAAAATTACTCAAAAACCTGTGGACAGATTGTCATGACATCTTTAACACATGTGGATATTGGCCCAAGGAACACACCATTAAATTTTGGTGATGTTCCGGATCACGATGCAGATACAGGATTTTTTTTTCTTTTAATTTGAGCGAATCAGCCAGGCTACGCAGTGTCATTACGTCAGACGCATGTCTGTAGGAAACAGCAAGTACAAGTCGCAAGCTCACTGGGACTACACATCCCCGTCTACTATCAGGAAAGTTGTGATTATTCTGTTATCAACTACTTCTGGCGATGTTACATGCTGTCTGGAGACATACAAAAAGAAATGCAATTCTCTTCACGTTACGGGAATAACAGGACACCGACAGTGGGAGGAGGGTCCTGCTGCGTCCGAGCCGAACCTGGACTGTCCGGAACAGCTGATAACCTGGTACAACCTCCGTATAAGAACTTTATGGTGTGACTGCTCCGAAGTTCGTGGGAGTGTTTGTGCTGAAAGCGCTCACACACTGTATTTTGCTTCAATCACTTGCTTCAAAAAAAAAAAAATAAATAAACGTACAAAATAACCCACTGGCTTCATGAGCCGACTGTACCAGGAAGCACTTTATAAAGAGAGTCAAACCATTACAAACTCATAAAAGGGGATAAAACAGACATTTTACATGGTGAAATGCGACTGATGAAAACTTAAGAGCTTAATCCCACACCAGTTTGACGATGAATAACGTCGGGTGACCAGTCTGATGTTTTTTTTATTATTATTCCACATTGGACTCCACCGGGAAGAAATTCCATACATACTTAATGCTTAAATGTTCACTACGTCAGAACTTATTCGGCAAATGTATTTCCATCTCTGCTTTTGCGTATTAACTCTTACAGGATGGGCCAAATTGGTCTTGGTGGAGGTTTGCAATCTCCGAGTGCTTCTAGTTCCACGTGTGTTAATTCATAGTTTTGATGTCTTCAGTGTGAATCTACAATTTTCATAGTCATGAAAATAAAGAAAACTCTTTGAATGAGGTGTGTCCAAACTTTTACTCTGTACTGTACATAAATTGCAAAACTCTTCCAATAGTTCAAGACATTTGGGAAACTCTCTTACTAATGCAAACCAGCAGTCACAATCCAGTCAGATAATAAAGCCTCTGCTCATGATCYACCAGATAACAGCTGCCAGTAAGGGTTAAACAGCTGGTTAAGAGGGGTTAAGACCTGTTCTGTTCATTTACTTCAATGTGACATCATGTGATTAGTCTTACCTATGACTTGGACGTGTGTGCTGGCAGTGATGCTTGTGGCAACATTGGTGGCGACACATTGCCACTCTCCGTGGTCCTCCTTTGTAAGTGACTTCAGCTGTAAGCTGCCTCGGGGCAAAACATTGTGCTTGCTGTTACTGGGCTTCCCTACCTGCTGTCCGTCCAGGTGGAGAAATGAAGGATTCAGCCAATAAAAGAGAGTCAGACAGGTACATGGTGCATTCTCATACAAAACTCTGAAATAATCAAGCAAACCCTCATCAGGTAAAAACATATGGGTCTACGATCTGCCATTATACAACATGAATATCTTTAGATAAAAGGAAAAACAAATAAAGTTATAAATTGGTTAACTTAGGCTCAGGGATAGGGCCACACCTAAACTACACCTCTAACACCTCCTTATAGTCAGCTTCCATCCTGTTCATCTGGTGCTCTTGACCAACAAATCAAACTCACTCATTTTATATCAAACTTTTACATCACAAACTGCTAAGACAGAAACTCATTCTCTACCAAATATTTTAGAAATCAAACTCTCCATCCAGCAGCCTGCACAAATCATCAAGAAAGACTAATGGGTAAAGTTTCCAATTAGCCATAATTACATTTTGGATTGAAAAAACGTAGTATTGGTGCAAATTTGAATAAATCTGAAAGTTCACGTTGTTGTGGCATGGTCCCTGCTATGACAAAGCAATTTAAAAAGTGGTCAATGAAGAGGAACCTTAAATACTTTGAAATTAAACAAAAGTAGCTTATAGATAACTTAAAAAAACAAGAATTTTAGGGCAGATTTAGTTGTGGAGGCAGCTCCAGTTTGAGTGCCCACTGTAGGGATTGCGTTCACAAGTCCATTTCTCAGTAAAAGGAGATGATTATTAAATGCTAACAACTGTAATATAGAAGAGAGTTTCTTGCCTTTCGCCATGTGATGTTTGGAAAGGGGTCTCCCTCTGCCTCACAGGGGATGACCAGTTCTCTCCCAGCCTCTTGTCTGTACTCCCCTCCAGGAACCACAGAGAACTTTGGAGGATCCTGGCCAGAGTGAAGCAGCCAGACTGTGTAAATGAAATGTTGCACAGGTCAGAGATTGTTCACACATTAGAGGTGTGTACCTTTAGCACCAGGGGAGCAGGAGAGGACCATCCCATGGAACCCAGGGCATTGTAAGGCATGCAGGTGTAGGTGCCGAGAGAGTCCTCTGTCACCTCTGACACACGGATGCTCCCATCGTCCATTTGGTTCCAACCAGGGTACTGTTGGTGGACAAGTCAGGGTCACCGTAAAAAGACGAATAACTCTTGCTTTTATTGGGTATCAGTGTTTAATACAGCCTGGACACCTGATACGTACTGAGTTCAAACCATTTACATACTAGATTAATACCAGATATTTACAAAGTATTGATCATGAACTAGCTCTGTCTGTGAAAGCACATCAACAAATAAAACACACATCTGAGGGATGGGTGGGGCCATGTTTTTGCTACATCGTGGGAACCGAATCTGCATCATGGGGACCAAAGTCCGGTCCCCATGGTACGGATGCTAATTTTGGGTGGGTGGTGGGTTTAGGACCAAGGTGTGAATTGAGTTTAGGTTAGTTTTAGGGTCAGGTAGTACCTGTGAGGTTAATTTTAGGGTAAATGGTCAGGGTTAGGATATAAAATTACCAGAAAAGGAATGGAAATCAATTCATGGTCCCCACGAGGATATAAAAACAAACCTGTGTGTGTCTGAATAAAGCAGTTCAAGTTTGAACATATTGCTATAAGTTAAAACATTTTTATTTTTCTTGTTTTATTTAATTATAAATTATTATTTTTTCCCTTAGGTTAGGGTTTTCGTTGACTTTTTTCCTTTTTCCTTTTCAAAAAACTGAAACAATTTTTAAGGTGTAGGAGATACCCCAACATAACTTCTCATATTTAACCTAATTAATATCGACTAATATTAATATAGTTAATATATGAGGAAACGAG